AAACAATGAAAAAGAGTTGGAGTTAAAGCTCTGTAAACTTCACAAAATCTGGGTAAACTTCACATCTCAAGCGTTTTCTTCGTCATAGTGTTTCTCTAATTAAGAATTATTTTTCTTTTATCTTTTGAAACAATTAAAAGTACAAGGTGGTCTTTTGAAACATGATCTAAGTCCAAAGGGGTAACGTGTAATTTAGCCTTTTTCAAATGACTTTTTTATTTTATTTTCAAGTTTAAAAAAATCGACAGGAATTAAGAACACCATTTTTTTTTCTTTTTCTACAATTGTTTTCATATTTAATTTACATAATGGAAGTTAAAGTTATCAACAAATTAAGAAAAGCATTTAAGATTTTAGACAAGACTTAATAAGTTAATCAATATTTTTAATTTAAAAAATTTATATTTGGATTTAGTATTTATCTTTTAAAAGACATATTATGTCTTTTTAAATGAGAGAAAAATATATACAATAAATCATGAGAGAAAAAGTAATTTTTTTTTAATTTAATCAAAAATATTAATTTTAATTAAAATGACCATTATTTAAAAGGACAAACATTCTTTCTTTTATATTTAACAAAATTATTATTTTGCTCTATAAATTTTTTTATCTCATTTTGTAACTTTTTTTAATTTCTAAAAATAAAAACATAGAATGATTTCCATTACCGAAAGAAAGAAAAAAAATTAAAATAAAAAAATGAATGACTGTGAAACGGTTTATGTAATTTTTGTATTTAAAAAGTCTGAATCACTAACTTTCTCTTTTGCAAAAAAATTCAAAAATAACAAATAAATAAGTATAATAATAATAATAATAATTTGTTAAAAAAATAAAAAAATTTACGTCTCAAATAGCAAGATTATATAAGAAAAACGCTACTGCTTTCGATTTTCAGTCCCAGTATGCCAAACTTACTAAAATAAGCAATTTGAATATCTTATTCACATAAAATATGATCAAACTATATTTCTTTGAAATTTATTATGTTATATATTACAAAAAAAATATATTAATATACCTATGAGGTTGTAATTAATTAACACCAGCCAAAATCTTTAAAATTATCCACATCCCATTGTCAGGGGCTTCCATCTTCAATCAATCAATCAATCAATATATATATATATATATATATTCACGTTAAGTTTATAGTTGGAGATATACTAAGTCAATTTTATTACATTAGTAAATATATATCGTCTATGCTTCAAAAGAAATTTCAAATTAAATTTGAATTCTCAGATAAGACAAGACTCATTTGAGTTACAAACTTATTTAGCTCATTAAACTAGTTCAAGTAACTCACAAGGACCCGAAAACTGAGGGGTAATTCTGTTCTGAAATAATACAAAGTAGAAAATGCAACATATAACTTTTCAATTGAAATAATTAAGACATTTCTTTGAAATAACAAGGAACATGACATAGCCAGATGGCTAAATTTAGGTTGGATTTTGGATAAGATATTACTGCAAATGCCACATTTGATCATCACCATTATACACCATTCCCCTTGCTTGAACTTGAGATATTGACAAGCTAGAAATATCCTGTTTAGTTAGCATTCTTGATCCATTTCTTGTATTGTCAAGAAACTCAACTCAACTCACCATTCCCCTTGCTTGAACTTGAGATATTGACAAGCTAGAAATATCCTGTTTAGTTAGCATTCTTGATCCATATCTTGTATTGTATAGAAACTAGAAGGCAATTAATTTTTTCTTTCTTTCTCTCAAACTGACCCATTTTTAGATGCCTCCATCAGAAGTCAATAGTCATGATTCAACCAAACTGGATGGCACTTTTGAGTCAATCCCCTTCACCTTTTTATCATTTCGTTTGTGTGTCTTATTTAAAGCTTGGTCAGACTGGGAGACAATCTTGGATACTGTAAATCCTGCAACTTCAAAAGTATGTGATCTGTAGGGTATTAAAGAATTGCGAAGAACAACATCAACTCCTTCGTAAATCCAAACTCCTAACACGGCGTCTCCTTTAAGTCCAATGGCAAACCAACCAAGGCCAGCAGCAGCTATGTCTACAGAGCTTGAGTCCCAACTGTTCCCTCTAACACGGAATTCCTTTCTCACCCAATTCCCCAGTTCTTGAACTCGTTTCTCCCCAATAGGTGGCTGAACAAAGAACAATTCAGGCAGGTGTTACACAAGAGGGAACTGTAATGCACAATGAATAATGCTTATAAATCAAAAGAGCAACTCAAGTCTTTCCCTTGTAACATAGAGGTCTACATGCACCTTGCCTAATGTATAAAACTTCACCTTAAGCATATTATGGTAATTGCCTATCTAAATCTTACTAAATATTGTTTTATAGGAAAACAATTCCAGTAAATTTTGCAAGAGCACTGCCAAACCACCTGAAGGATGGAACATCATTAAAATAAATGCTACTAAATCTTTTGACCAGGTTGACTTAATATAATTAACAGATTTCAAGTTCATTTTAACAGCTTTCGCTTCACACCTTTTTTAGTTGGTATACTCCTTCTGGGTCAAAAAAATATATATATAATAGTACAATTTTGTAATGACTGAAAGATAAATCAATTATTTGTTGGTCACTATCCCACTTAGGACAACATTTCAGAATAAGGCAGCAAATTAAGACGATTTTACAAACAGCTAACAAGCTTCATGGGAAAGGAATTGCTGAATAAGCAGTCAATTAAAAAGAGAATAGTGAGTACCTGCAACTGGCGCCCAAAATGGTCTTGAAACATTTTACATGCATTTTCCACTTTACCCATATGCAGGGGAAGATAAGGAGATGCCCACACCGTGACATAAATAGTATCCACGGATGTTTCTTCTATATCCAACCTCATCAGACCAGCTATGTGAATCGAATGACCAGCCTACCACAATTAATTGGTAAAAGAATGAAGTACAGCAGGTTTTAACAAGATATAACAGAAGAAAAAAATGAATACTGCAGCACAAATTAAAAATACAAGTAGGGTAAGGGCAAACCCACTGCAAAAGGTTCACTCACTCGCAAGGGTAGGAATAATGATCGATTGTATGCAGTCTTATCCTTTCAGAGGCTATTTGGTAGATTCAAATCTATGACTTTCCAGTCACAAGGAGCAACTTTACCGCTGCTCCAATGGAGCAACCTTACAGTCACAAATTAACATCAAATTCAGTCCCACAAATTAGCATTTCAATGCACTAACCTTAATTCTGTACGTTCTAGGTTTCAACTCCTTGCTAATGTAAACAAGCTTTTGCTCTTCCCTCATCAACCTTGTTGTAATCTGGTAAGGATGAAGAAGGCCAGGTGTATCAAATAGTTTTGCATGACTTGGAAGAACACCCTCCACTCTAACAATGCCCAATGTAGTCCCTGGGACAGGTGCTTCTGTCAAATGTGTAATCTTCCCTCCAACATACTTTCCAATAGAATTAATTAATGTACTTTTTCCTGCATTCTGTGCCCCAATAGCCCACACATTCCCTCTAGGTCCAGCCAATTCGATTATATTATCCACAAGATTCTTAAGTCCCCAATCCCTAAGTGCACTCACCATGTGCAAACTAGTAATCTTATTAACTCCACCCTCTCTTGCTCTTTGCCTAATCCAATGTTCCAATCCTGTTGGTGACAATGAACTAGGCAACAAGTCAATCTTAGTCACCACAAGCACTACCCTAGGCACATTCCCTGACTTTCCCTGCTTCCATGCAGCATAATTATCCTCAATTGTCTTAGAAACCAACTTTGCAACCTTCCTAGGAAATGACCCTTCAAAATCCACAGCATCCACAACCATAAGCACCACTGAACGTGTCCCAGTTGTTGATGCCAACTTCCTTCCCACCGTGTGATCAAAGTCAAAATCTGGCAACAAGTTTTCCACCGTTGGATCCTTCACCTTCCCATAATGCCTCAACGAATGGCAGCGTGCACACACAACAGGCTTGTCTGGTTTCATGAACAAGTTCGCATCATCACAATTAAGCTTTTCGGGTTCAATTACAAAACCCCTTTTAACAGAATTGGAGAATTCAGGCTCTTGTGCAACAGGTTCAAGATGAGTATACAATCTATAATTAAGGTCCTTCTCAGAGGGTTTGATAAAATAACCAGGGTGTTTCGGGTTTGAATCTTGCATATAAACCCCACAACCAGGGCAAACATGAAGAGATTGAGAAGTGCATTCATCATAATTACCGTCACGAGAGAGGGGCAAATCTTGCGAAGAGAAAGACCTAAATAAATTAATTGATGGTTGGGGCAAAATTTTTGGAAAGTTTTGAAGATAGGGTTTTGAGTATGGTATTAAGATTGACGATAGATTTGAGTGGGAATGGTTTTTGCAGTGAGAAAAGAGAGATAAGTAAAAGAGTGGCTTAAGCTTTGAAGGGGAGAGATTTCGAGCTACAAGCATTTCTAAGCAATGTTTAATCCGAATGTCAAAAATATTGCTTGCGTTCGGTTCAGTTTTGTTCAAGTAGGTCTTGATTGTGAAGAACAAGGGTTTATGAGGATCAAGTTGAAGGGTTTTGGTATAAGACGTAGCTCGACCCGATAATCTAACCCGGTTCCGATTAATCGAGTTGGGTTTGGTTTTGAAAATTAAGCTTGGAGTTTAGGTTGTAATATTTGTTCTTTTTTTTAATTGCAACAAAATCTCCATTCTCCAGGTCCAAACCTTTGTAAACTCGACCATAAGCTCCTTTCCCAATCTCATCTCCCAGCATCTGCTCAAAATCTCAAATGCAAACAAAGCAAAAAGTAACCAGCCATTCAAAAACCAAACTATTGAACGAGCCAATTCCACATGCAATTGCAAAGTAGAAACAAAATAATTCAAATGAAAACTCACGAATTACAACATGCAATCATTTTGAGTGCATTCTCTCCCTACCACTCCTGTGCAAACACTAAAAAGATTAAGCAAGGATTAAAAAATAATAATTAAAAACATTTAACAGCCTATCCCTTGATGAAAAAAAAAAACATTTACCAACTGCAAACATCCAATTCAGTCAGCAACAGAATCTCCACCACTACTGGTTCATGTTACAACTACCTTCAACTCCAGCATATTAGCAATGTTTTGACCTCATTATTACACATTACACTATTATTAACATTTACTCATTGTTTCAACAGAAACTCCACATTACACATCCACCCCAGCCCCAATGCCGCTACCATCAGCTTGTGATTACTAATGTTACTACTAATCACAAAGTCAACATAATTTCAGGTTTCAATTACTACAGTAGCCTTGCATTTACTACGGCCATTTAATTTTGTTCTTTTAATTTCATTGATACACGACAATAACACAAACCTAAAGCTTCCACTAAATGATTTTCAGTGCTTTTATTTGAGACTTGACAGAGTGATAACATAGAAATCTAGACTTGAGAAATCAACCATGATAATATTAACACCAGCATTCTTTTGTTTTCTTTTTTTTTCACAATTACAAAAAACTTGAGATCGATGGAAAATGAGAGTGGAAGGAGAAAATGACATACATATTTATTGTCGAGGGTCTTCGATTTAGTGAAAGCAGACGAAGTCGACTGGCGCGATATCTCTGCGAAGGTGCGATCGAAGAAACCAAACCCTAGAATGAGAAAAGCTCCATTGGGAATTGAGGGACGCCGGAGAAAGGAAAAGGCTCTGATTGGATTAATTTAATTAATTAATTAATGAGAATATTTATACATAAAAATAAATAAATATAAAAAAGAAAGAAAGAAAAAAAAAAGGCGTGTTAATGAAAGACACTTTTAATTGTTGCAATTAAACTACTTGTACAATGTACTTTTAACAATTAAACATAGGGTTTTATTAGTGTTATGTTACATGATTTAAGTGTTGTTTTCAAAACACACATAAAAATGGAGAGAGAAAGTGGAATGATGAAAGAGAAAGAAAAACATGTGGACCACATCTCTTTAATGTGTGTGGAAAAATGATGTTATATCATGTTACATGATAAACATAAAACACTTAAACATGTCTGATCAAAAATTTCAAACTCTGTTACATGTGAGTGGAAAATGTTTCTCTCGTTATGTAATAACCAAAAGAAAAAAAGAAAAAGGAAAAGGAAAAGAATTCTTAATTAGAGAAACGCTCCATCATGAAGAAATCACTTGCTTGTTGGGCTAGATGGATTCAAATATAATGAAGGCATAATTGTCATTGCAGCTACTAATTTTCCAGTCACTGGATAAGCCTTTACATGAGAGAGATGGAGATCGAACCTAAGGAAATATAAAATGTAGATTAACAATATATACTCAGAAAACTTCATTTGTAACTGGTTCTGTTACCTTTTTTTATAAAACTGGCCAATGTTTACAATGTGCTGAGTTATTGGCGTTTATGATTTTTTAGTGGTTCTATTACCTTTTTATTAGTCGGTTCTGTTACCTTTTTAGTGTATCTTAAATTTTGATCATTCTGGGAAAATTGGAATAAGTAAGAGTTTAGACAAAAAATGCACTTGTTATCAGCATATAGTCATAATTAGCTGCTCTCATCTTTCATAACAATATAATTCAATATGTATCAGATATCATGTATCAACAGACCTTAACCTCAGAAAAAAGATTTTTATGAAACAAATAATCCCAGAATTCTAAAAGAAAAAAAAAATTCGATAATTGGTACATGCAACTAAAACTAATATACCAGCTTCAAATCTGGAAACCCGTTTGCTGTTCTAAATGATGACTCTAATGATCCAGAAGAAGGAAATGCAGATAAACTGATTGAAGATCTCACAGAGGGAGAAAAGGATGATACCCAGATTATTAGAAGCCAGCCGGTTCGAGTTAGACAGGAAAGGAGGAAAGATCTCAAGAATGATATTCAGGTGGTTGAAACTAGTACTAATTATAAATTAGTAGGGGAAGCAGTTGGGAAGGCCATAACAGTCCCCAAATCTCAGGGTAATAGGGGTACAGGAGGGACAAAAGGAAGAGCAGTTAATACAAGCACTACAAGTGTTCGATCTAAAAAGGAGGAGTTATCTTCAAATCAAGGAAAAATGCAGGCTGAGAAGATGGTTCCCCAATCCCCAGAGATCCCTTCAATCCAAAGTAAGGAGGACAAAGAAAATCAACCTATCAATATAGAGCAAAGTAGTAGTACTCAAAAAATTCAAGTTCAACAGGCTCCAAGACCTCTTGATCAGGAGCGGGCAGATATGGATCAAGATGATCCTCTCCAGAAATCAACAGTACGAGAAGATGTAGATGGCAAAGCTTCGCCTATGGAGTTGGAGGTACAGGTTCTCCATAACCCTGTAAACTCATATTAAGTTATTTATGTCAATTCTCTTTTGGAATGTGAGAGGTACTGTTGGGAAGAATTTTAGGAGTGTTTTAAAGAATCTAGTTAGAAGTCACAAAATTTACATGATTATTCTGCTAGAGCCTAGAGTAAATAGTTCTTCTGGTTCTCATATCATGAAAGCTTGTGGTTTTAATAGTATTTTTGTGGAGGAGGCACAAGGTTTCTCAGGTGGAATTTGGATCATGTGGGATTCAAATAAGATATCTGTGGATCTTATTTCTCAAACTTATCAGATGATACACTCAAAAGTTACTTTGATAAATGGAGACAGCTTTATCTGTACAGCAGTTTATGCTAATCCTCGAGAAGCAAAGAGAATTTGTTTATGGGAGGATCTAAAGAGTATTAGCAGAAACATGAATGAGCCTTGGCTGGTTGGAGGGGATTTCAATGAAATAGCGGCTGCATCAGAGAAAAAAGGGGGATCTTCTCCAAATTATACAAAATGTCAGTTTTTTAGAGATATTCTTGATTATTGTCAGCTGGAGGATCTGGAGTTTACAGGATCAAAATTTACATGGCAAGGGCCAAAGTGGGCTCATCTTGATAGGGTATATAAAAGACTGGATAGAATTATATCTAATGTTCAGTGGAGGTTAAAACTCGATGATGCACAAGTTGTTCATTTGCCTCGGATTTGTTCTGACCACAACCCTCTACTTTTAAAGTTGGACTATCAGAACAAGGATAAAGGTAAAAGGCCTTTCCGTTTCTTGGCTGCATGGCAACACCATCATTCTTTTCCAGATTTTCTTAATATTCACTGGGATAAGGATTTTGACATCCCTTATATGCTGCAGAGATTAGTGCCTGCTCTTCATAAGTGGAATAGAAAGGTCTTTGGAAATATTAGTAGGAAGAAGGAGAAACTTTTAAAGGAGCTGGAAAATATTCAAAATCAGAGAATTGTGAATGATAATACTAGATTGAAGAATATGGAGGATCAGGTTCAAGGGAGATTGAATACAGTTCTACAAGAAGAAGAATTGCTTTGGTTCCAAAAGTCTAGGCAGCAGTGGATTGTGGATGGTAATAGAAACACAAAGTTCTATCACCTTAACACAGTTATCAGGAGAAATGCAAACAGAATAGTGAGATTAAGAAACAGCTCTAATCAGTGGATTACTGATCTTGAAGAGCTGAAAAAAATTGCTTGTAATTTCTTTCAAAATCTGTATTCAGAGGATATTCCTATTAGAAGATGGCTTTCTTCTCAAAATCTGTGGCCTGCTCTTTCTGATGAGGATAAATCCATACTTAGTAAGACCCCGACTCAAGAGGAAGTTAAAAAAGCCCTGTTTAGTATGGGTCTCTATAAGGCTCCGGGTGTGGATGGTTTTCCAGCTGCTTTCTTCCAAGCTAATTGGGAGACAATGAAACATCAGATGCTGCATCACATTTTAAGTCTATGGGAAAATCCAGATCTTGTGGCAACTATCAATTCCACCTTGATTGTTCTTATTCCTAAAGAACATAATCCTTCTCATATGTCCCAATTTCGGCCTATTTCTTTGTGTCCAGTAATTTATAAAATTCTTAGCAAGATTGTGGTTCAAAGAATGTGTGGCATTATGGAGAAGATCATATCCCCTGTCCAATCCAGTTTTGTTCCAAAGAGGCACATTCAGGATAATATAATTCTGGTTCAGGAATTGATTCATTCAATGAATAAAATGAGAGGGAAAAAAATGTTCATGGCTATTAAGGTGGATCTAGAAAAAGCATATGACAGATTGAATTGGGATTTTGTTAAAAAAGTTCTTTAGGAGGTGCAAGTCCCAGATAAATTAATTGGTGTTATTATGGCTGCAATTTCATCTACCAAATTTAATGTTCTTTGGAATGGTGGGATGTCTGAGGAATTCCACCCTTTTAGAGGAATTCGCCAGGGGGATCCTCTTTCCCCTTATTTGTTTGTTATGGCAATGGAGAAGCTCAGTCATATTATCAATACTGCAGTTCAGGGTAACCTGTGGAAGCCAATCAGGGCTGGTCGAGAGGGGCCTGCTATATCTCATCTGATGTTTGCTGATGACCTTATGCTGTTTGCTGATGCCAATACTGATCAAATCCAAACTGTTTTAAAATGCATGCAGATGTTTGGTGATATTTCGGGTCAACGAGTGAACCAACAAAAGACTAGTATCTTTTTCTCGAAGAATACTCCTGATAGTGTTGCGGATGAGATTACAGGTTTGTGTGGTTTTAAGAGGATGCGTAATGTAGGAAGACATTTGGGGGTGTGGATGAAGCATGGTAGAGCTTATAGAGAAGCCTATGCTAACATTGTAGAAAAGATTCGATCTAAGATGAATGGTTGGCAATCAAAAAGCCTTCCACAAGCGGGGAGGATTACTCTTTCTCAATCTGTCCTCTCAACTATTCCTTTCTTTCAGATGCAATGTGATAGAATCCCAAAGGCTATATGTTATGAAATTGAAAAGTTACAAAGAAATTTTATTTGGGGAGACATAGAGGAGAAAAAAAGAAGCATCTTGTGGGTTGGGACACGATTACAAAACCAAAGGAAGAAGGAGGTTTGGGGATAAAAAAGTTAACTCTCATGAATGATGCTTTTGTAGAAAAACTTGTTTGGGATATTTTCTCACAACCTGATAAATTCTGGGTTCAATTTTTGAGGGTTAAATATTGTGGGCAGCATGGAAGAAATGACATTTTTCATTGTAAGAATGGTGATTCTAGGTTGTGGAAATATATTTGTTCAATTTGGAAGAGCCTAGAAGGTCACCTCAGTTGGGAGATTGGCAATGGAGCAGTCATTTCTTTTTGGAAAGATAAGTGGATTCAAAATGGTGGAAGACTTCTGGATATGACTTCAAGTATAGTTCCTTGGGAGGAGATTAATAAGAAAGTGGCTGATTATGTTAATGGGCAAGGAAATTGGAATGTCCACCTGTTATCTCGTTGGCTGCCGTTGGATATTATCTCTTTGATTAAAAGCATGTTGCCTCCAAATGATCAAGATGGTGCTGATTATGTGCGTTGGAAGCTGAAGGACTCAGATCATGTTTCAGTCAAAAGCTTGTATCAAACTCTTGCAGGTAATAATTCTGAAACTGTTTCTAATTCTTCTTCAATTTGAAAAAAAGTTTGGAAATGGGAAGGACCTCAGGTGGTTAGATTGTTTTTATGGAAAGTTATTCATGATAGATTGCCAACAAAAAATAGATTAAGTTCTTTTGATATTGGTCAATCTGATTGTCCAATCTGTATGGAAGATGCTGAATCTACTTTACATTTATTAAGAGATTGTAGGAATATGAGAACCCTTTGGTTAAAACTCAT